CCGCTTTCGGCGCGCGTGCAGGATCTGCTCGCATCTGCGCTGCGCGCGAGTACCGTAAAAATGTGTATTACGGTACACGACGCTCGCGCACGACGGGTGATTAGGCGGAACGAATGCGGGATAATTTGTTTCTCGCGCCTCTTAACGAGAATAATCGTTCCGCCCTAAAAAGCGTGTCGAAGCGTCTCTGTTTCGAGCGGAGTTCATTTGTCGTACCTCGCGCTGGCCGAATTCTCCGTCGCGTGGCGGGTTAATACAGATGTATAGGGTGTTTTACAAATTGGCAGTCGGCCAGGCTCGCGTTGAGCGAGCAGCTTCGGTGCTAACGAACACAACAGATGTTACGGGAGCCGCTTTTTCGCGCGGTCGTTACTTTTTAAATATCAGACACGGCTGCGGTGAACAATGCTCATGCAAGGAACGTCGTCTGACAATTACGGAGGGTGAGTTTTTGTTGATAAATATTAAACATCGCCGTTACCACCGCTCCGAAAATCGCTCAAATTCTCAAGCAGTCCGCAAAAATATATCCGCGGTGAAGGAATTCGAGGCGAATTCTTTGATCAATCGTATCAATCAGTGCGTAATAGAATGTATAATCACGTACATCATACATGGAAATTACATTAACAGAATTGACGAAATTTTATAGCTGTTATGTATGTACATACATTAAATATTAATCACGACGTTTCGGCAATAATAAATGTAGCCGATAGTAGATATAAAATAACTGAATAATGCGTATGCCCCGTTATTAGTAGAATTGTTAATTAAATCGGTTACCTGAATAATTATTTAATGCTCACAAAGCACTCGCGCTAATTACATTATGAAGCAACATCCTGTCGCTGAATTATATTACGAGATTATTGTACGACAGACAAATTGTCGATAATCGCGTTATACGTACGAGTACAATTACTCCGTTTAAGGAGAACGCTTCTCTCTCGCGGTGAGAGTTTCTTTATGCGGCAGAATATATTCGCGGGGTCTCCATCGCGACTACTTTCTCGCGACATCTTTCGCTGAGTATCTTTGAGGACTCGACGATTATTCAGCTTTCTATTAGTGCGCGTCCCTCTTTCTCTTCCATTTATATATATCTCGACCTCATCGCGCCCTCTTGGCACGACTCGCTTCGCCTCGGCTTTTCGCTCTTCGGTGCTTTCGTTTGACGAGATCGAATTAATTAAGCGACGCGAAGTAAAGCGCGAAATAAAATTCTCCCGCTAAAGGGAGATGAAATGTGTTCCCATCGCGATACGTATGCGTCTGCGGGTTAAACGTATTTTCCGAGACACGCGGAGGTCTCGCTGCAAAATTGTCGGGAGGTGTAACGTCGCGCAAGAGAAAACGCCACCTTCGATCGAGACGTCAGTCGAGGAAAAAGCGCGCTCGCGGTTCGCATGTCCGTGGAATTCGCGGACGGGGTATATTCCCGGCGATTCCAGCTGTTGATGGAATCGACGACGGTTCTCCAGCGGTCTCAATTTCTCAATTCCGCCGCAATGGTATGCCTCGTCGTATGCCGCTGTGCCGCGCTGTGCGCGCGAAAGAATACGACAACGAGATACGCGGACTTTCGGCTCTGTAACGACGCAACTTACAAAGCCGTAAAAGAAGGATCGCCGCCTTCGCGACGGGACTTCCTTGTGTGTGCTTTACGCGAGTTCCGGACATTAGCATGTTTACGTCCGCGCGGTGACAACTTATGAAGCGGCTCGCCCCGCGACGGCGGAATATCAAGAGCGGCATTACTTCGCGAAGCAAATGCCGCGAATATACGAGGGATAACCCGGCGGAACGCGGTCCGCGATGACAAACTCGTGAATTATCCGAGGCGCGGTAATCAACTCCGTCCTTTTATTTACGACGTCCGCGCGTTACGACGGACGCAATAAAAAAGCCCTTCGGCGGAATTTAATGAAAACGAGCGGTAGAATTCGCAGCAGAAGCGTTTAAAATTAACTCAAGCGCGCTTTCCCTCTCCCTCTCCTCTTTCTCTCTCTCCCCTCCCCCCCCCCCTCTCTCTCTCTCTCTCTCTTTCTCTCGCGCGCTCTTTCTTCTCTTTTGTTTTCTGTCGGTTGAAAAAACAGGTGGAAAATATAATGAATTTGTCGGCGATTTTACGGCGAGCGGGAGAACGGGATCAAACAATATTATTTGTTTCAACAAAGAGAGAATGTCAACGAAGGGTGTGCGAGTGAATTCTTCCCCTTCCCTTCGCTCTCTGTCTCCTCCCGCAAGCGCGCGCGCGCGCGCGATAATCGTTGTCCGAAGCGCGACGAAAAGCTCGCTCGCTCGGCCCGACGATTTTCCAGCGCGATGATAAACGGCAAATTGCCCGTGGCGGCGCATTCGGCGCAAGTAATGGCGCGCCGGCGGTCGGCCGCTTAATCAGGCGGGCTTTATTTGGAAATTACGGGGTACGTAGGACCCGATGTCGCCTCGCTCTCATCTCTCGCGGAGGATTAAGCCCGCCGCCGCTCCGAGAGGATTAAACATGACAAAGCTTGTCCATTACGTCACACAACGACGGGAGGAATTCCTCCGCGTCTCGATAGCGCGAGTAGTCACGTTTACACGCTCGCTCGGCACGAGCGAAAAATTGCAGCCGGCGCGCCGTCGTAGACAACCGGTCGCATCTGCGGCCCGGCGCCGCGTCGAGCCCTCGGGGTCGCTTTAAAAGCCCACTTCGACGGCTTTAAGAACAATCCCGTGTTTTACGAGTAAGAAGCTTTAGCTGCTCTTCCGCACCGCCGCGCTTTTTGTCGCCCGACGCGGACACCGCTGGATACCGAACGATGTTGGTATTTCTCGTCAAGTCATCCACTTGCCGGATGCGCCGAGTGACGTTTGCTCTTTCGTCCGGGGACCTCTCTTCGCCTTCGTCACTACGACTCTCACTCGTTATTCCTCACGGACTTTGTCCGCAACGCGACCGAAAGCGACGGCAAGCGTGCGCTTGCGTTTGGGTTTAACTTTGTAATGCTGCGAGAGCGGAATAGCGTTCGATTGGGGCTGTTTAAATAGCACGCAGCACAGGCAGCAGCAGGGGATACTTCGAAAAGCGGGCGTCCGCAGGACGTCTGATTTCTTCCAGGCATCTTCCAGGCGCCGTTAACCCTCTGAGGCACAGTGGTAAGTATACTTACCACTATATTTCATATCTGAGGGATTCTTGTCGGGTTTCTCGCGTTTCTTAGCTTCTTGTATGATACGGAACATACATGAAAGGTTGTTGAAAAGTGTTTTGCGTAAGTTGTCCATTTGTTATAAATAAACAAAGTGTGAAAAGATACACATTTTTACAGAAAGAAATCATTTTCCACGAACTATGAGTGAATTTTTTGCTCAAAATCAAGATTTGAGGGTTTTTTGGGTCGCTGATTACGAATCTGAGGTCTAAATTCCAAAATTAATTTTCGAAGAAGGCGGATTCAAGATGGCGGATCATAGAATTTTTATTAAATTAGCTAAAATTGTACTCTGGTTAGTTTTTGAGGTCGCTGATTACGAATCTGAAGTCCAAATTCTAAAATTTATTTTCCAAGATGGCGGATCATAAAATTTTTATATGATTAGCTGAAATTGTACTTTGGTTAGCTTTCAAGATCGCTGATTACGAATCACCGATGTCACCGAAATTATCGCGATTTTTCATATTTGCGCCCGCCATCTTGGACCCGCTATCTTGAATTTCGAAAATCTAATAACGGATTTATCATCAGTGACCCCAGAAACCTCCGTATATAAATTTTCATGTGATTCGGATTTTCTGAAAAATACGTGCCTCAAAGGGTTAAAACGTCTTTTGGAACCTCGTGCTATCTCGAGCGGCAGAGTGGTAACTGTTGGAAAAATAACGACGAGAGGGGTATTACGTATCACGTTGTTAATTATTTCAGCGGTGCAGTCAAAGACGTGCGTCTCCCCTGCAAGTCTCAATTACGATTCTACACAGTCTGTCCCAGATACGATGAGACTGGTTCCATCAAAGTTCTTAGCGCAGCGATATCTATGAGTGAATGATGGTAGGTGAATGTTCTACCCTTCATCTACTTAACCTCAAAATTTGAGCGAATTCGGTTGATATTTCACTGTGGTTCGACATTTTATGTAAAGTCACTTTGTGTACGTCGGTCGAAAAACCAACATGGAACATGTTTTAAATTGGGTAAAAGTGGTGCAGAAACGTACGAAACGCTAAAAAATGTGTACGGGGATGAATGCATGTCCCGTGCGCAGGTTTTCCGTTGGTTTGGCCGATTCCGTGACGGTCGTGAGGACCTTGCAGACGATGACCGAGCACCGCCGCCAAAAACCACTCGCAATGAAGAAAACTTCGAGAAAGTCAAAGAAATTCTTCGAAGCGACCGCTGTGTGTCTGCGAGACTCATCGAAGAGGAAACTGGGATACCGAAAAACACAGTCTATCGAATTTTGACCGAAGATTTGGGCAAACGGAAGGTTGCACGATAATGCACCATCGCACAAAGCCATCATGGTACGTGAATTCTTGACCAAAAATGGCATCATTGTTATCGATCATCCACCGTATTCACCTGATCTGGCTCCGTGCGACTTCTGGCTATTTCCCAAACTGAAATTGCCGATGAAAGGAAATCGTTTCGATACCATCCCGGTCATCCAAAAGACTTCGACCGCCTTCGACTAAAGGCCATTCCAGCCGATGAGTATAAAAAATGTTTCGAAAAATTTGTTGCACGTTTCCAGCGCTGTATTGACTCAGAAGGAGACTATTTTGAATAAACAAGAATAAAAAATCAAAATAATAAACGCTTTGTATTTTTTTTAGACCAGTCTCATTGGATCTGGGACAGATTGTGTATTCCATTGCAGGCGACGACGAAGAATTATGATTTCGCGTAAAATACTCTGTTATATTAATAACGAATGATTCAGAAAAATTGTACGATGTATCGTGCGCGTGACGTCTGGAGCAACCATTTCACGTTGGAAATTGTCTGTTTCAGCTAGCACCAACCTCGTGGGCAAATTCACGCAGAGCGTCCGAAGGATCGTCCAGGACGTGAAGGACGAAGGAACTTCAAGTAAGTCCCGGCGATACTTTATCGCGGGTATCACGCCGCGTGAGGCTTTAATTAAAGTTCTGACGGTATCTCGGTTAATCGTTCTGTTACTCAATAAAGTTACTCGCGCGCGCGCGGAGCAAGTCCGCGGAATGGCGGCTGACGTTCGCGCCTTTATCTTCAGGATCCTCTTTTTATACGCTTCATCTTCGCGGTCGTGTAGAAGAGCCATGATCTTCGCCGATAATCTCGCTCGAGAGAGATAATTCCGTCTGGACGAGGACGAGTGCCGGAAGGAACTTGAGGAAAGAGAAGGTCCTCGCGAGAAGGGAGGACGTTTCCTAATACCTGAATGTGTAATTGCGAGGATCTTTTAATTCCTTGATCTCTGGCGAAGTCTGGCCGAGTCGAGTTCCGTTCGGCCAAATTGAACTCCTCGTATCTTCGGATCCTTCGATAACCGAGTCTTCTCAATTTCGCTCGGGAGGGATTAAAGCCCATCCCGAAGGACGTCGTATTCGCGTACCAACGCGCGCTGTGCGCAGCGATGCACGGCGGATAATCGTCGGAGAAGACGCGGCCGTACGTATCGCTCGGAAATGAGTGACTGGCGCTCCGCCAAGTGGACGGTTGTTGGTTGTCCCATGAATGGAATCGAAGCGGAAACTCTTGTATTCGGTCGAGCCGAGAGTAACGGCGTGTCGGCGGCCGCTGTATTAGTTGAATAGACGGAAACTTCGCCGGCCGAGAATCCCGTCAGGTACAGATTAACGTTTTCCCATCAACATGAAACTATGATTAATTCCGACGCCGACGTTCGCGCGCCTGCGAGACGGCGATCAGATAAATTCCTAACATACGTGACAATGACGTGTACAGGACGTCCCGCAACACGCGCGACCTTAATCTCGGTGACGGATACTCCAATAGGCGAGTTTCGCGCGTCGATTCGCCGTAAATCTCGATGAAACTGAAGGCGATCGTTATTCCGCGCGGCTTGCCACTTTTCCAAATTGCCTTGCAATTAAATTACAAATCGAAATTTCGTTGTACAATGCCAGCGACGAACTTAATCGATATATTTTACATTGAGTGAGCCGATATTTCTCTATCATTTCTTTTTTTACTCGCAGTAATTTGTTCTAATATTTCTTTTTCACCGTCATCAAAAATTTTCCTGCAGACGTGCGCGAAAACGCGAAATTCACGAATGTATATTTTATTTATGAAACTGCGTGCATTGCGATTGCTAGAGAAGCTATGTCGCACGCGATTTCATTATTTAAAACCATCGCGTCGCTTGACTGCAGTCGTCCTGCGAGTCGATGATTAAGCAACAGGCTTGCACGCGGGATCGCGCGCTGAGGAGATGGCATTTTGCTTCGTACCACAAGCCCGTTCGACCCTTTAAACTTTCGAGCTCGCTCGGTATCGGCAGGCGTCGCATGCACGCTAGTGGGAGTCAATGACCGAGACCGTGTGGCCGAGCGGCCGCATGCATGAATGACATGAATGACGCGCGACCACGTGCTCGGCGTAGTAAAGAGTGGGGGCAGGTCCTCCGTTGCGCGTAAGCACGCTGCGAGTAACGGGACTTAGCACGTGCTTGCCGGCTGCGCTTGCAGAGGCCAAACCGCGCGATCGAATGCGCGCCGCTCGATGCAAACGTCGATACTTTCGTTCCCAGGAGTCGCAGCGACCCGAGGAAGAATCCGTTGCAAAGTTGAGACTGCCGCGCTCTCGACACGGACGAGTAGTCGTCTCCCCTTTGGATAAGGATTAATTAGTAGATTGTTAGATCGTTAAATATCGATCGCTCTCGTGTTGAAGCGAAAATTAGCCCATTAGCTCCCATTGGAGAGAGAAAGAGAGAGAGAGAGAGAGAGAGAGAGAGAGAGAGAGAGAGAGAGAAAATGAGAAATTAGAAATTATAATATTACGATAAATTAATCAGATGGTATTTTGCGAGCGTCAGATTTGTCTATTTCTAATAGATATAGAATCCAATTTGAAAGAACGAAGAAAATAATGGAAACTTCGTTCTCTGATTTCGATATTTCTGGAGATTAATTCGTCTCGCGAAACAACAGCGCAAAAAAACAGCGTCGGCGAAATATTTATTATACTGATAAAATTTTTATCATCCGTTATTGTCCGTTCGTTATTAAACACACTTCATCTCAATTACGAGCACTCGGACGCTGCATTCTGCTTGCACTGCATTCGCGCTTGCATTATCGATTTTTCTTATCGCGCGCGTCAATCATCGGCGGGCGTGTCGCGCTTAACGGAACCGTTAGATCGGGCGCGATGGGAAACGGCGTCGCGTAAGCAGCCCTCTCAATTAATTCCCAATTAACTCGACACCCAGATAGCACCGAAAGTTTCGACATAAATAAATCGAGTAGGTCGGACCGCGCGATAAGCAACTCTGCACCGACGTGCCCTCGTTGGAGTTCCATTGAGACCGCGCGGTCGAGAATTTGTAGGAGAAGTTCGAATCGCGGTATAACAAACAACATGCCGTAACATTCGCAGCAACACGAGAACCGCATCGGGGAGAGAAGATCTTTAAGAGAAAATTACCTTATCGCTCCCTCTCTCTCTCTCTCTCTCTCTCTCTCTCTCTCTCTCTCCTCCCGCTTTCTTTCTTTTTTTCTCTTTTTCTCGCTTCGCTTCATATTTCGACGCCGGAAAAATGAGCGAGGCGTCTCGCAGCTTCCGCAGCGGCGATCGTTCACTTCTCGGCAACTCGAAACGCGAAATCGGAGAGCCGCGTCTGTGCCTAATTTCGTTTTATCCCGATATCAACGTGATGACAAATGGACCAGTGAAGAAAGAGTACCGCGCGCGAGAGAGAGAGAGAGAGAGAGAGTACGGGGAAAAAGACATTCTCCCGCTTCATCAATCTTCGGGCTCTTAGACATGCCAGCGCTCGTCCACATTTTACAATTACCCGACGCGGCCGGCGGAGCGTTAATAATAGATCCGGGCGCGCACGTGTAACACCTTACGATGCGGGTCTCTCTCTCTCTGTGGACGCAGGTGGACAGACGAAGGAGGAGGTGATCGAGACGAACGAGAGGCTGAGAGTCGTAAGGATACGCCTGGACGGGAGCTACGAGACCGCCAAAAGGGCCCTCGTCGAGCTGATGTGCAAGTACACCGACAGCAAACAAGTGCGCAATGTGTTCCAGCGTTACAACATTCTCAAAGTTATGATCAAGGTAAGGGATCTGGCGAACAGGAACCCCGCGCGTACCGGCGCGCGTAATTGGCTGCAGTACGTGCTAGCACGTGTTTTTGTCTCACGAACACTTTATGTGCTCGAGGCCCGACGCAACATACATGCACGCACACAGACGCGAGACTGTGCGCATACACAGCCACAAGGAGCGTCAATCTCAGGCTGCATGTCGTTAATGTAATTATGTTGTAATTATGCCACGCGGCTCATGCAAGTAAACGATTAACTAAGGACCGTAGCGTCGCTTCCGGTGAGACTCAAAATCGAGTCACTCGCACGTCACATGCTCCTCTCTTGCCGAGGGACTATCGAGAACTTAATAAACATGCGCATACGTGTGTGTGTGTGTGTGTGTGTGTGTGTGTGTGTGTGTGTAACTTTGTCATGGTTATGTAATATTGAAAATAACGAGACGGTTCGTGTGAAGCTGAGGGCACGAAAAAGGAAGGGTAGGAGGGATGAATCAAGCCGAAAAGGATATTATCGGCGATATCTTATGATCCCTCGCCGAAAGGACGTCTGTAAAATTGCTCGGCTGGATTTCATGCACTTTTTATTCTCGTGTAGTTCGTTGGGCGTGATATCGCAGCGTTAGCTCGCGATGGATTGTTTAAATCGCGAGTTTCATCCTTCGCGGGAGATATCGACAAGTAAGGCCGGTTGACACGTGTCATGTTACGCGCTTACCTCGGGACACCTTGCTGGATATTCTCTTCGCGCTTCAGCACCTGCGTTCTAAATTTCGACGTTTATTTCAACACCATTCTGATTCTATGAAGAACAAATGTCGGAAATATATCAGAATATTCAAATTACCGAATTTCTCTCGCTACGGTATTTTTTTGAAATACTGTACGAAGCACGTAAACCGATTCAATACTCGCATGAGCGTGCCGAAAGACGAACAGTCCGAAGAAACAAAGCGAAGAAAACGCCAAGAGAAAACAAAAATGTATACGATGTATATTCCGTCCTCGTCAGTGAACGAGCGGAAGAGCGCAAAATACTCGACCAGTTCGTGCAATCCTGCGCGAAATTCTCAGCAGCAACCGGCGAACGACAAGTTGGACGAACGAACGAACGAACGAACGAACGAACGAACGAACGAACGAACGAACGAACGAACGAACGAACGAACGAACGAACGAACGGACAGACGGACGGACGGACGGACGGACGAACAGACGGACGGACGGATGGATGGCGGGATTCGTAGGGAGAGCGATTCACACAATGCCGTTTTATTTTTATTCGAAGTACATACGCGAAGTGCATGCTGCAACGGGCGCATTTGTTATCCGCCGGCGCAGGAGATAGATCGCGCGCTCGGGACGAGCAACAAAATAGAGATGCAAACGATAGATAGGAAACGATTGCTGGACACGTCCGCGTTCGCAGTCGGCGCGAAAGACGGACGAGCGAGCGCGCGTTGTCGCTATCTTTCGTCTCTCTCTTTCTCTCTCTCTCTCTCTCTCTCTCTCTCTCTCTCTCTCTTTGTGTCTCTGTTTGTCCCGTTTCTATTTTTGTTTTTTATTGCACCTCCATTTTGCTCCGTTTTTTCTCTCCCCGGAGGTGCATACACGGCGATTCGCGAACGCCGGCCGGTCCCGCGGGTGCATTCCCGCGAGCGTCGATATCCCGACACGTCGACGTTTGTTTCAAGCGTAAAGTTCCACCGCGAGGTGCCGTCGCGTCCTTCCGCTCGTTCCTATGTATCGAGCGGAATCGAGGCGTCGACGACGACAGCGGCGGCGGCGGCGGCGAGTGTTTCTCCCGGGCGCGCAGGAAAAGCTTCGGGGTTAATCCCCGGGCGACGCGAACGGAATAAAATTGCCCCTTATAAATCGTGCCATTTTGTTTTATCGATGGCTACGTAATCTCGAAGTATATTGCTTGAGATGTCTTGCGCCCCGCGATATGGGGGGGAGAGAGAGAAAGAGAGAGAGAGAGAGAGAGAGAGAGAGAGAGAGAGAGAGAGAGAAAGAGCAAAAATTAAAAGAACACCATAACGCAATCGTCGCTCTTACGCAAGAGCGACGCGTGAGCTTGCAATTGTTACTGAGCTCGATGTTATTGTAGCTCAGTCGTGTCTCCGTATCGAGTAACAAAGTATCAACGAAGATTGGAAATATCGATGCCGGTGGGGAAAATTGCTATTATGATATTAAATCCAACGTAACGTGCGAGTTGAAGCGAAGTTTTAGAACTCGTACAAATTAAAAATTCGTAAAAATATGTTTTATAATTTTCGAATATATTTCATATTTTTATATATTTTTCCGGTCGCATATCTTCGAGTATATTCAAGTACATCCTGCGGAACGAATAACGAAAAGAACAGCAATGCGAGCTCTGCTTAAACGTGAATTTGATCTCCGATTCAATAATTCGAATTTGTAACCTGTGAACATAAATGGACGATGTGTTGCTTCTCAGAGATACGATGGCCGAAAAACCGATCGTTTTTCGAGCCGCAGTCAGGAACAGGATTTTGGCACCTCGTTAACGACATACGCCTCACAGAACATACACACACAGAAGGATATAAAAAGATTCTTGAGTGACACCGAGGCAATCGCGCGCGAACGCGCTTCTTCACTTCCTCGCTTTTCCCCGTCGCTTTTCACGCCCGACAGTCTCACCTTTCCAGGACGTAATTAAGCTGGAGACGCAATACTGGACTCTGGTGGATATACCGCGGCAAGAGAAACAGGAGACCGTGCCGGCTTTCGTGCTGCGTGCCTGCTCCATCATGGAGAAGACCCACAAGAGCGGCGAAGGCGTCAAGACCTCGGCGCGCCTGGCCGAGGAAGCCGAGACCAAGCGGGAGCGCATCGAAAGACTTGAGAGTGAGTTTTCGTGTGCGGTTTTTCGTCATGTCGACGTCCGAGAACGTCCGCTCGCCGTTGAGAATAGCGGTAGTCAGACGGAGATATCTCCTGACGAAGGAGGAGGGAAACAATTCTCCATTGTCCCCCGTTATCGATCGTCCTTCGTCAACCTCCTTCATGTTCGTGTAGCCACTGTTATCACTCGGTCCTCGGCCACGTGATCGATCGATATTACCAATTAGGAAGACGTTAATTAATTGCACGTGTATTGTACGCTTGCTTCGCGCTCCCGAGACTATCATGAGATTCTTCTCACCGTGTAAATTATGCATAAACGCTCGTTGATTATATCGACCTGCTCCGCGAGAGAGAGAGAGAGAGAGAGAGAGAGAGAGAGAGAGCTTCCGAACGTGCATGGTATATTATTTTCCGCCGTGTGTGCTCCAAGTGAGACAATGGAGCGAGCCGCGTTGAGGCGAAACGTGTGATCGTTGTACTTCGCCATCGATTTCGGTGGATTCAGCTGTTCTCGCCGATATTAAATCCCCACGCACCGTCCGATTACCGATATCGCGTGAAAGGAATTTTAGTCGTCGCGCGAGCGACCAACCTGCCAACCAAGTCGGACGGCTACTTTTTCAGGGAGGGAACTCTGGAGACTCGTGTGGGGGAGATGAAAATTTTGGAGATTAAAATTAATTTCTCCTCATGCCCGTTTTTATACCGCTTGTTCTTCCCACCTTTCTTTTTTGCGTCGTCTCATAAATATTCAATGGCTTTTCTGCTTCTCGTACAACAATATTCATTATTTTTCCGGAGCGGCGCGGAAGATTTATGGTATTTCATTATCGCGATTCGCATGCTGAATTATTCGAAAATTATTCGCGGCGTCTTCCGCGACGACGAGGCGCCGAAAATAAAACGAATAGGCGACATTGTCGCGATGCTGTTGCGCAATTGCCCGCTCACGATTATATCACAGGTCCATAAATCACGTCGGCGAGAATGGCTTATTAGCGGCGTAAATTGCCGATAGTGCGATCGTCGCAATTAAAAATATTTCGTGCACGCGCGCGCTCGCGCAGTTACAATGCTGGAACCTCGGCTTCCACTTAATCAAGAGGCCACCTTTTCCTTCGTCTCGCTGGAATGGCCAGGATCGAGTTGAAACCACTCGATACAAACGGCACGAACTAATTGATTAACTCGCGCCCGCTCGACCGGAAATTCTACGAGCACTTATACATTTACATTCTCCTTGATTTCATTCCAATTTATCTTCCTCGTTTCATTTGTTTTACCCTATTTTGTTTTACCCCGCCATCTCCGTCTTCCATTTTTGTAGCTGAGTCATCATTAGTTTTTGGTGTCTCGTTGGAAAAAAAATGGAGAAGAGAACGGCGAAGTATGTGTATTATTACCGTGTATTTTACGCTCGCAGCGAGAGAATATGCAAATTGACTGACGAACGGTGAAAATGCCCAACATGATGCTTCGGATCGTTGAAATAAAAGTCGAAGGAGATTCGAAAATATCCACGTCCGATAAAAGTTTGATGTCAAGTGCGTCGCGTCGCTGGCGATGCGTTGCTTGATACACGACGCGCGTAAACGCGCATTAATGGCCAATATCTCCGACTGGCTTTTATCTGCTCCCTCTCTCTCCCTCCTCCCCTTTCTCTGTTTCTCTCTCTCTCTCTCTCTCTCTCTCTCTCTCTCTCTCTCTCTCTCCCTCCCTCTCTCTCCCTCTTTCTCTCGGCGAGAGCAGTATTTTTCTGAACGTTAATTAATGCCCTTTGTGATGGTACGAGAGAGGCGAATTTACGCGTCGACGCGACTGTGCACCAACATCCGTTGTAGTTCGCTTTTGCCTCCGTTTCCTTCCTTAGTTGTAAAAAATTAAAAATATGTTACGTCCGCCGCCGCCGCGCCGAGCGAGCGGATTTCGCGCACCGTGTAATCGCTCCGCGCGGCAAGTATTTTCCGTGCTTTTTCTCGCGCGATCGTAAAATTTCGGTCTACTTCGGTCGACGCGCACAGGTCGATCTTTCGACGGGAGAAATTGATCGTAGCGAGATATCTTTTTGCCACTCTCCTGAACTCGCAGATAAAAGCTGTGCTCTGCTCGGATTTTTTGTTTATAAACAATGGCACGTTTCAATGATTTCATCAATTTCATCAACGCTTACTTGTGAAGCGCCACACACACACACAGTGATGACGATTCCTTCGAGATCTGTCGCATCTCGTGATTGTACGAGTTGTGTTCGGCAGGAGGAAGGGAAAGAAAGAGCAACGACCCTGCGATCGTTGCTTTTTCTTTCGTGTAATAAAATACGACTCGCTTTGCGCAGATATGACCACGGCGCAGATCGAAGCGGAGAACACCCAGATGACCAACGATCTGTACAGGTTGTTGAAGAAGTACACGGGTCTCAGGAACCTCATCAGGGACTTGAAGGTATGTATATGTGCGATATCGCTGATACTAGAAATATAAATACAAAGATACTAGAAATATAAAAAAATATTCCGTTCTCCCTTCGAAAGTGGACGCTAGCTTCATTCCGCCAAGAATAACATCCATTTTCTCGGCGCAATTAGCTCGTCAGGGGGATCGTTCTTGGAATTTATCGCAAGGAAGCATTTAGCGCAAGAAAGATATTCAGTACACCTGGCTTTACATAGATGATATTTAACAATTCACAAAGGATATTCGCGCGGGTATTAGAGTGAAGCCGATGCTTCTCGCCGATGTCTGGAAACGCTTCGTTGATTTGAGCTTGACGTTATTAAAACTTTCTTTCGCGATCCTTCATTCGGGTCGAACGTTTCTCCATCGAAGCGTCGAATATCCCGACGAAAAATTCAAATGAAAGTTTCGATCGCGGGGAGAACGGAGTATGATAACGTGCAGTTCTCTCGTATGATAGCGTGCAATCCGCGTGATCGCGTAAGTAAATATCCCTGGGACACACCTTGCACGGTCGTATCGTTTATCGGCTCTTTGATTACGATCGTAAAAGGTCGCGCTATTCGACAGCGAAGCGTAACATCGGCTATTACATTAGAACATTCTTACGATCATCCTTTTTCCTTTTACGTTCCAATAACTGCGTGCCACCGCTGCTGCAAGACTACCATCCCGTCTCGCCGGTGATCGCCTACTCGTTCTCTTCCTCCATGCAGTGTCAAATAAATCGGAGATTAAAGGCGACCATGAGCGCCGTAATATCAAGGCAAACCGCCTTTTTCCTCTCGCCTTTTGATCTTGCCCGAACGTCTCGTAAATTGTCGCGGATAACTCGAAACCGCGTTGATCGTACACTCAACGAACAGCCTTACCGTTTGATTATCAAGGAAACGTTCATCTCTTTGTTCATTCGAACCGATAACTCAGAGATGATAAAGAAATTTCATCCCTCATTCCCCAATTGTCCATATTTTTGTTATTCTATCCAGGTACAGCATGAGTGATTCCTCTGGCATGCTACGCTTGTAGATCTGAATTGTTCCGACACAACTTGCTAACTTTGGAGAGGTGTCGTGAGCTTGTGGATTTATTGTTTTTGTTCAAAACATTCTTCTGTTAATTGTCTTGTAATCCTTAATGAAATTAAATTTCATGTACCTCCTGGATCGCATCGCTTCGCTTCTCCAATATAATTCATATACAATATCATCGCACAAATTATTTTTAAAATTCAATTGCCTTGATAAAATTTGTATACTTGCAAATAATTATTATGATTTAGATTATAGTTTCCTTAACTTTTTGTAATTTTCTACTAACATTGTACTCTATAATTGAATTGATCTTTGCGCATATTTAATATTAATCTTTATTGGGCCGTAGATTTTTTGTATACCAAAGGATAATATCCGTTTATCCTTTATAAATAAATAAACATTCGGTCTCGCGATCATCGTTAATCGCCCGAATAATCGGCCATCTTTCCAGGAGGAGTACAACAGCTCGAAGGTGTATCCGATGTTTCCACGTTACACGATACTGAAGGACATGATAAAGGACATAATGCACAACCCGGACTACATGGAGGTCTGTCACGAGGTGGACCAAGCATAGCGGCCCGACCCCCTCCACCGTTCGCCACGTATGACCTTGTAAATTCTTCAAGGTCTCCGCGTGGTCGTCGGTGAAGGGGGTGATCCAGAGAAAATCATGCAGCTTCGACTCATTTCACGCTGGACAGCGACCGGCTGTCCCGTTACGCCTTCCTTTGCGCCTTCGTTCTCACCCTGAGTCTCCGTTTTTCCGATTAGCGACAGCGCCGTTTAGCCGCCGCCGTCTTTTAGTTGGCGTTTTACAGCGATCGTGGGACGACGAGTCGCGCGTTAACGCGACGAGTCACGGATTCCTCCCCGCGAAATGGTACATATAATTTCTCGCAGGTAAGTCAAGTCCAACTCTCACGGTCCAGGTCAAGTGTTTCGCGTTTTCGCGCGAGATCGCACGAAGCCGACGAGCAGCAGCGGCTGCCGCGCTTTCGCGCGGAAACGCCGCTGCGCCCACCGGTCGATCGTCGCGAACGAATCGAATGTCGTTCTCGGACATTCGATCGCGTTGCTCCTTTTCGACCGTGAAAGTCTGAGAGAACGAAGAGAGACAGAAAGCCAATTCGAAGCTGAGCCGGAGGGAAGAAGAGACTTTATTTCGCGGCGGGGAACACCGGGTAAGTCCGACGTTGATAACTTCGATGTATTTTATAATTGAATCCGAGACAATTTTGATATTGGAAATTAAAACGGCGACGCGAGCCGCTGAAATTTTCATCATAGAAGTTTGCGCTTTCTCGAGTCGGCCGAAGAGTGGCCGCGCAGTGGTCGGCGACAATTCTGAGGAGCGCACTGTCCGTGTGTATCCAGCGTACAGCATCGGTGTTATTAAATCCAATATTTTCCGAACTTTCATTCGTCGTTCTGCCGCGACAGTGATTCGAGTCTTTCCGGCGCGGGATCCGCAGGATTCTGTTGGCAGCGGCCGCCGAGAGTTTCTGCTCCTCCGATCTCGCGTCGGGATCAGTCGCGCGCGTCAACACACAAGGAACGCGCGAACAGCAGCTAGCCGCGTTTATTATCACACAGCGAGTGTCGCGCGTATATATGGTGCACCATTATCGATCGCTTCGAGACAATTCGCACACCTGACGGGTGCCGAGTGAATAATGCGAACTCGTTCGCAGGCGTGAGTTTGTACATAGGTGTAACTCGTATGCGTGCGAAATTGGCGTGAATGAGCGGGCGAGCGTGTGAGAGTGAGTGCGCGTGAGACACTGGCTGCTCTCGGCTTCGGAGGAAGCTGCTTCGCAACCGTCGTAAAATTCGTGAATCTCATTTACACGCGTGCCCTCAGATTCGGCCTGGGTTAAGAATATACGCCAATTAGACTCGCAAATTTTACAACAGTTGCGAGTGGGAGCTTCCTCCGCTGAAAGCGGCTGCTATTATCCGCTTGCCGCTGTTACGTAGCGCTTTCGTAATGAACGTGACGTCGCCCGAGAACGCAGCCGTCGCTCTCTCGTGCGCGACAATCACGTTCTCGCTTCACCTACGACAAAGATTACGGCGGATCGAGGTGTTCGTGCGACGCCGGGAGGTATATTTATAAAGAGAAACGTTAATTAACCACTTAACGCTTAAGGGAACTGAGATCCGGAGAGTTGGCGGAGATCTTATCAGTACTTTATGTATGAATCATGTTCGCTATGCATGTGTGTGTGTGTGTGTGTATGCGCGCGTGTATGCGTAAAGTATCAAAGTATTCGAAATTCTCGCACTACCTACAAGCAGGACAAAGAGATTAGAAGATATCGAGGCGTTTGAGGAACACTGAAGCTAGACACGTTTGCGATGGCGGAACTTTGATCGATCGACTCGATCGCTCGAAGCGGTCGAGATCGGCGAGGTTAACTTTAAATGTCTGTGGCAGTTTTATTCGAAATACTTTTGGATATATTAAATGTGTATCGTACTTGATGTGCGTATGTGTGTATGTATGCGTAAGTATATGAGAGAGAGAAGAAGAGAGAATGTTGAGATATTTAAAACGCAAATTCATATTAAAGGAAACTTTTATGTAACGCGTGAATTTATATACACGATATGATATATATATATATATATATATAGTCTCGATAAACTGATATAAATCAAGTCTAAAACTTGCGAGTTGAATGCAGATTCAGAGTTCAAGAGACTCGGGACTCGCGAACTTGGCATTGATTTATCTCAGCGTCGAATTCAGGGATGAAGCATGAAACCGCAGCCAGAGAAAATCTCTTCGGGCTTGACTTAATTTTGAATTGTCGAGACACACGAACGCTCCAAGAAACGTTCGTTTTTCCCCTTTCCTTCTCTTTATTGCTCTCTTCGATTTCCGCGCAAATTTCATTTCAAAATTCATCCTCCCGCGCGATATAATTCCCGTTGTTGTTTCGCTTCTCTCTACGTTGCTTTTATCTCTTTATCAATTACTCCCTTTACGCAGCAGTATGCACACGCGCTGTTGAATATTAATCGGCAATTTTCCGTGTGTGTGCCATAAATATTCACGGATTTTTCCCATTTGAGGTGGCACGCGATGCGTTCATTAGGAGGCACGGAGATAAGGCAAGATCGCGTCCGCGAGGCACGCGGGTTTTATTTTTCAAACGCGACTCGAGATTTCTTCCAGCGCGTCGACATACGTTCGTGCGCATTTAGCAGAAAACGAGAAGGATAGATAGGATATTCGCGGCGTGCGTTCGAGCCGAGCGAGATTAGTCAATAGCTGAGCGTCGTGCATCGATGCGATCCGCGATGACGAGACTCCATCATCGAGCAAGCGCGTTTAGCGTCTAACTAAATGTACACACCACTGAATTTGTATGTTTAACAATAACGGCCACGTGAGAGCGACATTGTCCTCACGTACATTAAACAACGGGAGAGGCTGCTTTTGGACGATACAATTAATTAAGCGTTAATTTGGAATAATGAACATATCATGTTACCATATATTGCTACATGTACTCCGATGAGGATAGTCCTCGGGAAATCGCGCGCGCACACAGAGCGCTTATTCGCGGTGACTTTTCGCGGAGAGAAAAAGTGACAAAAGAGTCCCGGAGATGCAGATACAATCGAAGCGCAAACTCTCCTCGTTTTCCCTCGCGCGTATCCGAAACATTCCCGAAGAGTTTCAGAAACGAGAGTTGCCGAGTTATCGCGAGGGGGTACCTCGTTAATCAACGAGCGCGTGAAATTTACTGCGCACGTTACAATTAATTGCTCGAGAGAAATTGCTCGTCGAGCGACGAGCCTCACGGATAAAAGACGAAACATCCAGAAGGGGGGAAATGAAGGATGAAAACCTGTCAACACGGTGTTGCTGCGGAGCAACACAAAAGAAAAAGAAAAGAGGGAGAGAGAGAAAAAGAGAGAGAGAAGAAACTGCGCCGACGAGGAGACCGACTGCGAGACTCTCGCGAATCTTTCTCGTGGGACTTTCGATCGGAGTATTTGCATATACGCGCGCGCGCGCATGCATATGCATACCGCGCGCGCTGTTCGATACCGAGAGATAAACACGGGGGTTGTTATCGGATCGCTGGGAGAGATGCGGTCAGCGACAGCTATCCCCGACGTATTAAATGTGCCATGTTCTCCAAGTGCTATATACCTCGTAACAGGTATCTCTCTCTCTCTGCGTAAAAGTCGCATGGACGCGAATTGTACGTACACGCGAGTCGCACCGGCCGTGAATCAGCGCTAACCGGAGGTCGAGGTCGTTTCCTTTCTCTGTTCGGCAAGCGGGGGGAGGGAGGGGGGATTACCGTTTCCCCGGTCCCGGTGAATTAAAAGTATTCGTACGACGACCGTAAAGCGTTAAATAAAGCGCTAACCACGCTCTCTCACGTGTGAATAAAATTCCTCTCGCCAAAGAATAAATTCGAGTATCGAGAAGAATTTCCGATAGTCCGAATGGATATCAAAAACAGATACCGAAAGAGGAGAAAATGAAACGGGAGTTACGGTAGGTCAAACCTCGGTGTGCCGTCGTAGATTAATTAAATTAAAGGTCCAATTTATGCCATTAAAGACAAAATGAAGAGAATTTCTCGTGCTTTCTGGAAGACCTCTGAGAAATCCGACTGCTCAAGAAGGGAATTCGTAAATTGAAATTGGCTCTAATAAGCCCTGATAATACATCGAGGATTAAATATTGTATTTTACAAGTATTCGGCTACATAGAGAGAGGAAATTACAGAAACATCTCAATATTAATCGTCGTTACCTGATTCGGACTTCGGTACGACTCAATAAAATTCAAAAAAAATTCAAAGTGCACAAGAGTGAAGTAGATTAACAAACACGCAAAGAACAAGAAAACTCTAACGGCTGAGAAAGAAAGAAGGAGAAAGAGAAAGAGAGAGGGAGAGACAAAGAAACCATCGTTGTTATAAAACTGTAAGAATCACCTAATAATGCTCGTGTTAAGATAACTATACGATTTTTAGTTCGTATCGGCAACGAGTCGCTCCGAAGCTTGAGAATCATTTCGGGAATGAGACGCGATCCTGCTATTACGTTTGTCACGGGAAGAAGTTCACAGAAATACGCAGAGTGTCTTTTCCTGTTCCAATACTAGTAGTTATAAATTCGTCGCGATCGAGGAATCTCGTGATTCCCGCGAGTGAATCTAATCGTGTTACGCAACCGAGATTCTCGTTCGACTTTCGTTCCACCCACGCGAACGTAATAAGAGGATCCTCCGGGATTCAGTTGTTGTTCTCATATCACTAAGATCTAAACGTATAACGATGTATACTATATTAAAATACATATTATAACAATGGCTGACAGCCCGAAATCAAAATGCAAAATATAATGCGCGGCGGACATTGGGACGACGATGGAGGCTCCCTTCCTCGCATTGCGGGCCCTTTTCAATGTTCGCCGATGTTTAGTGCCCTCCCGTTCCCTCGACACTTGTATCCCCTCCCAGCCCCTTTTCAACCGTTTTCTTGCACTGTAATCAAAACGAGTGTAATTTATCAAAGTGTCTAATCAAACCTAACTAGTATCCTTAATCGTACTATTCGTGAAGCTGGATACAGGCGAAATGGGAATCAAAACGTCGCTTCTTCCGATAATTTTACGAGATTAAAAAGAAAGCAAAACGTCGCTTTACTTTTCCTTTTACCATTTTATCTCAAACGGTATAAGAAAATCAAAATTTTCGGCGAAAATACTAATAAAGTATTTTTAGAGAGGATATTTTCTTTCCTTCAAAAAGAAAAGGGATAATCAAACAGAAATCGATGCTCGCCATACAGACGCTTTAGATGTTATCTCAGCGAAAAATTCCGAATGTCGGACATTATTTTTCTTTAACATGCTGCGTCGTCGCTGCAGCATAACAGTGCTGTTGAATTCTAAACGGCAACAGAGTCAACAATCAGCTGCATTATGCAGCGCGTATTGTTACGTTGTTGCTGTTAGCATTGAACGTTAATACTCGTTGGCACATGGCCGTGGAAAGATCTTTGATCTTTCCACGGTAACATCAAAATGCGAGTAATTAATTTTATGGAAATATCGACAGGGCGGTGTTCTGTCTGCATCCAGCGCGTTTACGAAACCTCCTCTCCGCATTGTGTGACCGTTTAGAATAGGGCTTTCGACATACGTGTGTTTTACCCTCCACTATGCATACACTGCGTACATAAAGAGAACACGTTTTAGATACATTGTTAGGAAATATCGAATAATTTCTCGCGACACACCATAATTCCGACGATTTTTTTCGCAGCACCCCGAGTGAAGTGAAGCGAAATGCTTCTTCGAAATATTTTATCGCAATGATTCGTTCGAGTCGATTTCGTTGTCGTTTTCTCGCGCATCTGCTCGCGAATTAAATTCACATCCGTAAGGAAGATTGAATTCTCCGAAAGTTTACCGAACAGTCCATATCGCGAAAATTTGCAGGGTACCTCCGGTAAGATCTAGAAAAAGATCCCTCTTCGTTCTGTGTTTTTTAAATAAGCGAGAAAACTCTTCGCGGATTTTCCGGGCAGAGATATTTTGCGGCCGAGTGATTTTTCCGAATTTCCCCGGAGAATTTTTCGGCGAAGTTTTAGCGTCATCATTTTCCACGTCCGAGCAAATGTAACCTTCCCGAGGCGGAAGCTTTGAGATACTCCGCGTAATCGCGAGATATATTTTCCGGCAGTTTGGAGTCTCTAAATATATCCGACATCTTGCGGAAAACTTTTGTATCTATTTATCCGTTTTACGGCACACTCGTGTAAAAATATTTGTAACCTTATATTCGTATCGTAAACCGCGAATTATATATATGTGACCAAAGTAAAAAGAGCAAAAAAGAGGGATTAATCTATAAATCTATAGAATTTATCTATGGATGGCGACGTCGCGAGTGTGAGGTTCAATCGAAGACTATGATATCCAAGAAGGTCTAAATGCCAACGATAATTATTTTTGTTGCTCGCGTAAAATCACCGGGTCAATTTGTCGAGCGCGACCAATGAACGATTTGTACCGTAATTATCGCGATATTGCTTGTTGTAATTATGAGTCCTGCCGTAATTGAATTATATTTTAATCGAGTTTCACGATAACGGAATTTGCTCGTGATCGAAGTTTATTGCAGTTAAATTGTGTCGGTGTGCCCACATGCTGTACGTGTTGTACATTAAGTAACGACCTATTTTACGCGCGTTCATTGTGCACGAATGCTAACTTGCAAAATAGATGAGTTTCCATCTTGGCTTTACCGCGGATGAACTATAATGATTGACGCGTAGACCGTTCCGATCTTACGATCTTCAATTCTCTCATTATCTATATCGATAATCGGACTGGTCATTATAATATTTATAGCTCGCTCTCATCGTGCGATTTTCCGCACGTCGTCGCTCGTGAATCAGCGGTCGCGATCGCACGAGGCTCACCGAGAAGCTTCTTCTTGCAGCAGCTTTGACCCCCGGTAACGTCTCTAATTATGTACAATATCCAAATTACACTCCTTTTCTCTAATTGCAAAAAAGGAGAGGTATTTTAGGAAGTTAATTAAAAAGATTTTAAATTGTGGAAGAAGGGGTGAGACAAAAGAGGCACGCGCAACATCGCGCGCTTGATATTTTTCGAGTAGATTTTCCACGTCGCGTCGGAAACAAGGAATATTCTAATTAGAAAGATATCCGCGAGTGCGTCCGCGAGAGAATCGCGCGATGCGAGCGAGTCATTCTCCACGATATCGCGCTGTTGTAACGGGGAGGTCCCCCGGGATTATCGCCGGGCCCCATCGCCTCCTCCCGGCGCGGCTGATATTTTTTAACGCGACAGCGAACTTTCTTAGACCAATTACCGTGTAACGCGCGTGTATAAGATGGACTTATTAAGATATATTTACCGTATAACGCTAAAAAACATAAAAAACAAACCGTACGTGTAGCGACGGAATAAAGCTATACTCGATATGCAATGTCTCTGAATTGAAGAATAATAGCAAGCGTGCTCGCCTTTTCGACGAAATTAGGAGAGTGCCAAATAGATTTTGAAAGTTTATACGCGTACGTGTGTAGGTATGTGTGTATGCTTCTGTATATGTATGTATGTATGTATTGCATGAGCGAAAATGGGCATGAATGAGTACGCACAATTGTGCGCGTTTACGTATGCGCGTTTTTGTCACGTTTTTACAGCGTGCTGAGTGCAAAGTTTTGTGAGAAAGAGGGATGGAGCAGTGCTCTCGTTCGCTGAATTGATCGTCATCGAGTGTTTAATTCAACATTTCTCCTTGTTGAAAAATTCACGCTGCTGAACGATTCGTCATTTATTCATTTTCCCCGCGAGATGTTCAATTAACGATATTTTTGCTATCGAAATGTATGATTTCCCCGGTGAGCGCATTACGTTCCTCGATTGCAATTATGTTGCACTAAGCTCTCTGTAGCGAATGCAGCGATTAGCATAGATTGACGAGAGAGCATGAGAGCATGAGAGCGAGCGAGCGAGAGCGAGAGCGAGAGAGAGAGAGAGAGAGAGAGAGAGAGAGAGAGAGAGAGAGAGAGAGAGAGAAGTTACGTTTTAAGGCTTAGAAATACCGTAAGTGGAACGTGGAAGGAGAGATATACACGATGTAATACGCGATACAGGATTCGTAGAGCTAAAGATCACTTCAGCGAAAAATAGCCACTTATCGTCTAAGTATAAAATAACGAACGCGTATACAGATGTCGTACATGAGAGATCTACCGAATGTGTTTTAAAGAACGTGTATATGGTAGACTTACTTAATTGTACTAGTACTGTAACGTGACCCTTTTAATGGCCCTTCGACGTTTCGTGAAATCTACCGGACGTAACGGAAACGCGATTCGATGCTCTCGATCGTTCAATGTCGGTATCGGTTTTACTTTATAAGGTCGGCTGAATATTTTTACGTGCTAATTATACGTTAAACTTCGATCGTCACCTCAACGATTTTCTTCCTTAATTTTCCGTTGGCCCACTCGGCAGAGTGGAGTGTCGCGCGATCGAAAACGTCGCGCGTCCGAGTTTGCTTGACGAACGATGAAATGTCTGCACCGTCGGTATCTTGATTTCATGCGCTGCGAATTAATTGCAGCGACCATCGGGGGGCCATTAATATACTACGAGATACTAAACGCATATGGATAAGTGTACTATAACTGCGTTAATTGCGGGGATTCCAGCTGATTTCTAGCGAGGAAACCCGAGACTCTACTGATCGTCGCTCCTAATTAAGTGTGTTTGCAGATTTGCAGATGATATTCTCGACCAATCTATTTGTCTATAATCATCGCATTACTACGGTGTCTGTCTTGTCTGATATCACATGTACGCTCACGTGACACGCACGAATGTCTCACACAAATGCAAGAAAGAAAGAAAGAAAGAAAGAAGGAAGGAAAGAAGGAAAGAAAGAAAGAACGGAATCTAACGTTTTGATCCACTCTTCTTCTATACGCGTCAGGCGCACATAATATATACATTTTACACGATACACATATATCCGCTTTGTATTAATGGTAAGCGCTTCGGGTGCATATCGAGAATAAGTCGTATATAGATGTAACGTTTTTACGAAGAAATATATTTTGGCAAATTCTTCGTGGGCGAGTTCAGAGAAAAAGAAACCTTCTGAGGAAACCGACACTCCTCGAGACCGCTCATTTCTTTACGACGAGACGTGTTTGTACGGGGTGTCTCTCTTTCTGTCTCGAGATGAGGTCTTCGTAGAAGCGGACGAATCCAAAACCACCGACGGCGATCTATTCTCATCATTTCCTAAGTCGCAATGACTTCTTCCAAGGTGTAATTATTTGATTTTTCATTTTCATCATTGTTTGTCTTTTTTGTTTGACATCAACCTGTCGGATTAGAGAGTAGAGGAAGTTCATCTCTGTTGGATTTAATAATACAAATATTCGTCGGCATGTCGTTTCTTGTAATGAGATTCTTTTCAGCACGATTGCGAGAGTAATGACAAAACTGAACGCGAAATTGCTCGGGGAATTTGTTGCTGATAGAGGGACACTCCGTGTGAAACTTCGAAATTTATTATCAGTCACCCCCCGCGTGTGCACTCATCGTTCGTTTCATTCAGCGAAATGAAGTGACTCCTTTTATCTAGAGACTCGATGTATAGTATCAAGTGTATAGACGGTATCGTTAGTTCGGCTAGCTTTTGCGTACTTTGTAAAATGCGCGCTGTAATAAACATCGGCGACTTGGTGAGCGTGCGATTCAACGAGGCGTATCGGCAGAACAGCGCGCAAGAATCTGTTGAATTGCGCCAGTCTCGGCGGGCGATTGAAGTATACGAGAGATAGATTCCTTTCATGCATAAAGAACGTATTTTCGAAATTTCGGAAAATGGAGGATTAATTCTACAATCGTGTTAATCGCCGCTATCGAGTTATATTATCGAGGGAAAAATTTCAATTCTATCGCAATGACGATAAGTTACGTTGGCCAATAATTCTCATGATTTTTATAATCTATGTGCAAATTCCTTGGAACACATTCGTCGTGGAAAATTAATTACTACATACTCATAATTTTGTCGTGCTGGGATGATTTCAACGAAAATTATGTTTGACGTGTCGCTCCGATACAGCGTTGAATCGTCGAGGCACGATCTCGCGCGAAATTTATTATATACGCGCGTTTCCGACTCGACTGGATCTGTAATGAATTAGAGAATAATCGTTGTTACGCACCCGCTTTCCCCACTTCTCTCGTCTGTTGATGCCATTAATCGCTAGTCGCCGTAGCGTATAGTCACGTGCAAGAAAATTAACACTGTTGTGAAGTTTGTATGTTTCGTTACAGTCGAATCGCGAGGGCCGCATCCGATCCCTTTTGTTTCTCCGCGAAGTCTCGCCTCGTCGCGATTTCATCAACATCGGTACACTTGTCAAAATGCGAAGAAAACGAGGGAAAAGTTTTTAAACTCTGTAGACGACGACGTACGCGTATGTACGAGCCTTTGAATAATTTCTCGACTTGCATGAGAACGCGTATAACTCAGATATTACTACTTCCACATGTATATGTATATTTTTCTTCGGAGTAACACGTGCCGTTTGTAAAGCGCGCAGTACAGCAAGTCCATTCACGAGAATTCCATTCGCAAGTTTCAATCTCCGAGAGCGTATATGCGTGTCAAAGTAAATCTCGAATATCCGGCCTCCGGGTGAAATCCTCTCTTTCAAGGATACGGCATTAGAAAACTGCGTCCATTAGCAGTGCGATTCTCGCGACTCGACGACGGTAACGGCTTTATGTCTGAACAAGTGTTCAATAGTAAACGATTAGTCTTAGTAGAAGTCATGCTAGATTAGCGAGACGTAACAAATGCTAGATGTCATAGCGTTACACACTATAGTTACTCCACCGACCCTCCTATTTATCGCACCCCGTGTGAGTTTCTCCCGCCGGAGGGAGAGATAGTTGGTAGCGACATTATATGTTAGGCTAGTACACCAAACTGTACTTAGAACCTAGTCAAAATCAGTTTGACGGAAAAGTGTATGCCGCAATAACGCTCTGATTTCGTTCGATGTGTCTTTGTTATCGTGAAAGAGGCATTACTCGTTTATTGGCTGTTATAAGCTTTGTTAATAAAATATTATGAAATTTTACATGAACGCAGCCAACGTCTTTGAATGCGCCTGTTTCCGCTCCCTGTCTCCGTTGAACAATTCTTCATAGTCTTCGATACTTTTCCCTTTTTCTGTTAATTGATCATTAATACTTAGGTCAGATGTGTTTCCAATTTATGATTCCAAATTTTTATAAGTGTGGATTTTTGTTTTATAAGTGTGCGTTTGAATGTAATGAAAATTCTTTTTAATATTAGGAAGAATTTGAAGTATTTCTTAATTTTATTGTGCTTTATAATTGGTTTCTAATATAATAATTTGATTATTCTTTTACAACACATGTTGTTTAGAATGACTGTATAGTTCATATTATAAAAAAAAAAAAAAAAAATAAAAAATAATAATTTATTATTTTTTACACATTTTTTAGAATTACTATATATCGCGAGATTTCAAACTAATTTACGAGATCAAATTTTAATATTTTTTATTGCATTTCAGTAATTACGAGTCAACTTTTAATTTCGCAGTTTCCACTATTTCCACTACGAGCCGCCACTATTTCTATCGACCCTAAATTAACCTAGCAATATGACTCAACACCAGATCAGCCATATCTTTATTTTCAAATAATTTAAAGAAAATAATTTAAAAAAAACCGAACGAAACTTAATTGCTGAATATGATATTAATAATAATTGTAAATATTGCAATCAATGATTATTATTTAACAATTTATTAATGTTAATTTTTAATAATTTGCAAGAAGCACTTCCTCATAACCAAGTCAATATCACAGCGCTGATATTGTCACAATTTTACACAAGATAGGCGGCACCGTGAGAAATTTGGGCAGATAATATTGACAGAGAGAAGCCTGAGAGCGGGCATGGCTGCATTTACAGCGTTATGGAAAAGTTGGCTGATTCGCAGCGCCAACCGGGTCCATTTTCCATGGACATGAACTACTAAGCCAATGTCCACGATTTGTTGGTACTATTCCGTGCTATGTCCATAATTATTTGGTTCTGTTCTGTGCTATGTTTACGAGCGAGCTAGATCAGTTAGATAAAAACGAAGAATCGGTCTTTGTCTCACCACCAGCGAATAGACAATCGCGACGAAGCGAGCCAGCAGCGATGTTATCGTAAGGCAGACGTCGCTGTCTCCCCTTTCACCCCCTTCTTTTCCTTTCCACATTGTTTTATATTCATAATTCGGGAAGAAAATAATTTCGAGAGTTCGGACGATTTCTAGCAATGACGCGACAGAGATAACACGCGGCCACATTAATTTGTCATGACTTTTATATTACTTATAATTACATAAACGCCCATATATGCAAATTATAGATAATTATTGCGCGTATGTTTTAATATTGTACAATATGGTATATATTAACAACAACTTCATTTCTTGCAGTAATTTTTTTAAGATCTTCGTTGAGGTCGTGAATTAATCTTTTTCTTCATCAATCAGTTTTCTGCAAAAATTACGATTTTTTAAATAAAATATAAAATATTTCTCTTCTCTTCTCTCCGAAGAGTTAATTAAAAAATATGTACTCCACAGAGTCAACTAACAAATGTGTAGTCAGAAGAGTCAATTCAAAAGTGTACTCCGAAAAGTCAATTTAATAGCGTATTCCGAAGAGTCAATTTTAAAGCGTACTCTGAAAAATCAAATTAATATTGTAATCCGAAGAGTCAATTTATAATAGAATATTTACTTCGATGATTCAGCTAAAGAAAAAAACATTTATTTATTATTATATTCAGAGAATAATATTTAATTTATTATTTATACTTATCTTACTTATGCTTACCCTACATATGCTTCTTTGAATGAAAAATTTAATTTGTTGACAGATTCAGATTCAGATTTGTTAAAATATCTCTTATGCGCAACTCTTGAACAGGTAGGTAATAAAATCATTTTTTTTCTTTACGAATTTTATAAACTTTTCACGAACATAAAAATTGAAAGATTCTCAGAGGACAAATAACTTTTCTTGAACATTTAAACCAAAGGAAAATATTTTCCCATTAATAAAGAATGAATAATTAATATCTCACACAAGAGGAATCTTCATCCTTGAAATCACCGTGCGATTTTGCTTTTAGAAAAGTATAATATTGATGTAATAGTAACAAATGCTATCCAAAAACGGTGCAAATCTTAAACGTTTTTGAGAAATGTAGTTTGAAGTTTAGTCTTTTCTGTTAATGTCGTTATAGCAGAAGAATTACCAATTTGCTTCAGTAGCGCAGTGGATCAGGCTTTGTGATATGAGCGTAGAGGTTGTTCAAGTGTGTTATTTTTACTATCACAGGGAGAACTATGTAGAATGTATAATAATACGCAGACAAATTCTTTACATAATCATACTTATTTCTTTTAGCGTGAATAAAAATGATCAACGCTAACGTGATAAGTGTATATCGCAATTGTACGTGTACGCAATTGTACACATACACACACATATACACACGTATACCAATGATGTCAAAACCGAACAATTCGTGAAAATTTTTTATTGATCGCAATTGTACGCAAAGACGAAAGAGAAGTACACGGGTCTCCGCGGGTATCTCGTCATATTAATTGTCTATGAGCTGATAAACAATTGATCTCCGGTATTTACAAGTTACTCTTGTCCGCAGCTTGTTCGGTTTTGACATCATTGGTATCAGTGATGCGAATTTGGTGATGGGCTTGCACGAGGATTCTCCTCCCCCTCCCCCATATACGCACACAGCCAGCTCGGTCAATCCGTGTGGTGGAAGTCCGTGCTACATCTACTTTCAGGCGATTTATGTCCGTGCTGCAACTACAGTTGTCATCTCTATGTCAGACTATGCCCGGCGGTCTAAACAGAGCGAGATGAGGAGGGGGGAAGAGCAGGAAAAATAAAAGTACGTATTAAAGTAAATATTAAATCTTCGAATATATATTACCGTTTCAAAATCTCTTGTATAATAAACGATTTGATACGTCTAGAGACGCATGATGTATCGTTGCCCGCGTCCCGTTTCCTTCGTCTTGCTTCTCAATTCAGCATCCCGTCCGCTCCGGACATTCGCTCGTGGCACTGACAGTGGCCATCGATGATGGCAACATTCGATTCGCTCGGAGAAGCACATGTTAATTAACGCGACGAGACTTCGATTATAAACATCCCGCGAGTCGACGAAGTATCTCAACTTTTAAAAAAAGCATCAAAGAAAATCACGTTGATGTTGTCATGGGTGAAATCTCACCCTGGTATATATTTTTTTATTTTCGAAATAAAAAAAGCCAAATGTATGCAATTACATGTTATTTATCATCATTGAATATTAGATGAAAGGTAGAAGAATTATTGTCCGGAGCGGATAATCTCACATTTAATAAGAACGAGACAAAATTCGCATGGGATGAAATTCCACTCTTTAACGCTACCATGACCTTTAATTATTCTCCGAAAACGGCGTCACAACAACTTTGACATTCTGTACAATTAGTTGCTAACACATTTTCTAATCACATTCCTCTTTAATTAACATAAAGCTAATAAATATCCGATGCTTCGACAGAGTAATTTTCTTTATTTTCAGTAATCAATAAATAGTAAACCAATGTCGCGTACAGTTGAAAGGCCTCCTCGCATTTCCCTCGTCGTTCCGGAACCTTCGAGAAAAGAAGAGACGCCCAAAGGCAAGTCTCTCTTGTTTCAACCGCTGCCGAGGCCCGCAATGTTTACATCGCGCCGATTGTGTTGATCGGCTCGCGAGCGACGACTCTTTTTGTCCTTTGTATTAATACTCGCGCGCCTCGCTTATTCGACCTTATTCCATCAACAGCAGCCGTGCGCGACGCACTTCCATCTCGTGTAATTGAAAGAAATCTCCTCGTAGATCCTCGAGATATTCAATCGCCATCGCGTCGGCGTCGCGTTGATTAACCGCACGGTCGAATCATAAGTATCGGCATTAAAAGTGTGAGTGACTGAAATCCGAAGGACTCCAGCAGGACGCAGGCAGCGATACGTTACGTTTCCAGGTATGTGGAATCATTTATTATGTGGGAAGTCTCCGATAACGAGAGCAGACGTTTGACAAATTTTCCGGGAATAAGAAGTCGGAATTTCGCGCTCGGCATTCACGATCCGTTATCATCCGACTAGCAATCATGACTTTATAAATCTGCAATTACTCTCGGTAATCTCTGTCTGTCTATCTATTTATTGCGTTGTTGTATACAAGAGATATTAATCCAGACAGAAACGGATAACGGTCCGTGAACGCGGATCTCTAATTCATTATGTTCTCGATCAAACATTCTGAATAATTCCCAACTGTGTGAGTATACCGGTCTTGTGTAGAATATTCAACGTCATACCGCTTCTTAGACTGCGACTTTTTTCGTTTTCGGTCAGCGCTTCTTTCAAGTCTGTTTACTCTCGTTTCGGGATCTAAATTTAAATGTCCATTCGTAAAAGAGTATTTTTGAGAGCTCACAACTGTTGTCTCCGCTTCTTGTTGTCATTTTTTTTCGTCAGCTCTTTCAAGAGCTCCAAGTCTTATCTAGACTTTCAATGTCAATAAAGTCAAAATGTCAAAAAAAACCGAATATTCTCCACTCATCCCGACCAAACATTCTTTCTCTACTGCAGCTTACTAAGCAGGAACGCTAAATTTTTGTTCCAGACGTTGCGGAAAGCAAGTCCAACGGACGCGGATGCCGCACCGGAGGATCCGGTTCGTGCAGAGCAGGGTCGGCCGGAAGGTAAAGTTTACAAGTTTCCTATACATCTGTGTTCAATCCTTACCTTTATAATCTTTACCTTTGCGACTTGTTCCTCACCAGCTCTCTTGAAAGTTCCATGTCTTATTTAAATTTACAATGTTGGAACAAAAATATAAAGATAAAAATCCCATATCAAAATATATCCGTATTTTCGATTCATCTCGATCAAAGATATTTTCTCTTTACCGCAGATTATTAACTGGGAAAACTACTTTTCTGTTTCAGTTGTTGCGGAAAGCAACAGCAATTCGGCAGAT